AGATTTCTTTAGGAATCCAGACAGAAAAGCAATCATTTCCAAAGAGAATAATTGGGGGTGGTCTCAGACTTCTCCTCAGTAAAATGAAATGCCAGAAAATAAACATAAAGACCATGTAAGTTGCTTATAAATATGATAAAAACATAGGATAATCAAAAGCCCAAAGGATGCCATTGGAATACAAAGCAACAGGGAACAGATGAGGTTGTTCAATAGGGTTTAGACTGGGAAACCAATTCATCTTACAATAGCAGCAGAGAGAACTTTAGGAGATAAAGAATAGGCATCTCTGAAGATCTGAACACGGACTGTGTGGTTAAGAGAGGGTAGGCTCTTCCTAAGGCATTTTCTGTTACGGCGCTAAACCCAGGCAAGCTGCCCAATGAACTGAAACTGTTTCCTCACAAGTTTCAACCAGGGATAGAGAGAACACCGGCAGGTCTGAGGGAAAACTGCTTTCCCAGGGATCCAGGAGGGCAAGGGAAATAGACTGGGCTCAGGGTGAGCTAAAGGTAAGGGTGGCCGCCAGCCACAGCGCGCACCAGGCGCTGAAGAATAAGAGCAGACAGCGTGGGAGGGCCCCGCGCCGCCTGAGGCTGAGCCACGCTGTGGGTGACTTCCCATCCAGGCTGTACCCCACACAGCTTTGCCTCCAGTTCCCTGTGTTCTAAGACAGCCAGTCTGCGCAGTGCTTTAGAAAAAGGAGCTGCTTTTTAGGTACCTTGCTCTTAGGCCCCCAGTGCACACTCATGGTCAACGCCCGTGGAAGCCCTGCTGTAAGGAACCCCCTCAGCCCTATGCTTCTCTTATTTTAAATCAAATTTATTGGGGCCGAGGGGTTAATTTCCAAAATATACAAAGAACTTGTACAACTCAGCACCAAACAAACAAACGATTCATTTTAAAAATGGGCAGATGATCTGAGCAGACACTTCTCCCAAGAAGACATATGAAGGCCAACAGACGTATGACAAGATGCTCAACTTCACTAGCAACCAAGGAAGTGCAGATCAAAGCTGCCACGAGATACCACCTCCCTCCTGTTAGGGTGGTTACGATAAACCATAACAAGGGAGAAGGAGGCTGGAGAGGAGAGGGACCCTCATTCACTGCTGGCGGGGATGGAGCCACTCCGGAAAAGTCTGGCAGTTCCTAAATTTCTGAAATGTGATTGAGCAGTGAATCCGTTTCTCCTGTCATGACTGGGAGCAAGACACCAATATAAAATGTGATCTATAAATATCCAGTAAGGCAATTTCCAGAGAGTTCATGTGCAAGGAGAATGAAGGGAAGAAGAAAGACCATAGCTTCGGGATCTATGAAGGAAAACCTTATCCCCTGCTAGAAACAAGTTACTTGCTGGTAAGAATAGGCCAAATGCCTTTTGGTTCCCACCTGCTGTAGGTGGATGAGCTAAAGTGACACACAAGCGGATGAGGAGGGGGTCAGTCACATGACTAGCCCATGGCTAAAGCCGTCTGGGACCTTGGCCTTGCCCCTTTGGTTGTCAAGATGCTTACATGGTTATTCTTATAGCCAACACAGGGAAGATGAATTTTAGTTTCTCTCCAGTATTAAGAACAAGACTAGGAGACAAAAGCTGGATGGGATTTTCCCAGCAGGCTTTACTAACTCCTCCATGTGAATCAGCTGTCAGGTCAGGGGTTCGCAGCCACTCAGACGTCGCTGGCCAGGTGAGCACAGCGGTGCTTGGAAGGAAGTCCTTTCATGCCTGGCCAGGGGACCGGGAGCAACCAGGGGAAAGGTCAGTTCAAAGAACCCTGTATTTTGAATTTTTTAAAAAAAGGTTTGACTTTTATAACAAATGGTTCTGAGAAAAATAGTTATTAGTTCCACATTCAAAAAGCAACATGTTTTTAAGCTTCTGGTTTACAGGAAAGTAAGCTGAAACGGTCTACAATATAGATTCTGTATAATATTCATTTTGCATAGAAGCTCATTTCATTGGCGTGCAAGTCTATTGGCAAGGATTATCTAATTGGTTAGAGAAGTAATTGCCGAGTTATACCGAGTTATTAATACTAAATCCTGATTAAAGAGATTCTGGAGGGAGGACAAACCAGAGCAACTAACAGGGACATCTGATTTCTGTGCTCCAAATCATGTGATGCAGACTGGCCTCTGTCTTCATGGAACTTATCGTGGTATTTACAGTAAAAAAAAAAAAAAAAAAAAAAAAATGACTTATTTCAACCAAAAGATGAAGAGAGAAGAATGAGGATTCTGTGAGTGTCATTTATGCTTGAGCTATTATTTCACACTCTCCTGTGTTTCAGGGGAGAAAGCTCAGCAGGGAGGGGGCAAGGAGCACGTGGGCTCCGAGACAGAGGGCAGGGCCCGCTCCCCTCAGCTCTGGTGCAGCCCGGGGCAAGTCCCCTACCCCCTGAGCTTTGTTTCCTCCTGGAATCCCACTGCACTGGAATTAACAGGGCGACGTGTGTCTGCTGTGTAACGGTCCCATTCAGTGATGGATGTTTTTAATGGTTAATATATTGGACAAAGATGGAGGGCGGATCTGAGGATGAGGCTTAAGGGACTGGATGTGAATCTGGAAGGGGAGGAATCAGATGGAAGGCTAAGAAAAGAGTTTTAGAGTTTTGAAAGCCTACACCATTATTAGATGAAGCTTTGGTTAATTTGAACACTGTATACTTTCTAATTCTGGTGTTTAAAAAAAAAAATTCCTAAATGGAATGCTAAATCAGCTCAAAGAATAATCAGTTACCTCTTACTAAATGTGGAAAGACACACAGGATTTATTAGGTGTTTTTAAGAAACAAGGATCACAGCATTGCATATATTATTCTACTTCCTGAGTAAAAAGCGAGGGAATTAGTATCTCTATTTCTATGCGCTTGTGTGGACATAAACAAACTTTGGAGAGCGTGGGAGTTAGAAGAGTGGATGTTCATGTGGGGCAGAGGCTGAGGAGACCCAGCAAATGGCAGAAAAGGACTGAAGGTGACTTTTTACTGTGTACCATTTTACACTTGTTTACACCTGCTGTTCTTTGGAGCTAGACGTGATCTCTATTTAAAAAGTAAATTAAAAAGAAATGAGTGCTTTAAAGGGGTGTTATTCAGAATGTAAATTTATGAAACAGATTGCTTTATCTTGACACCGTCCGGAGCTCAGTTCAAACTGAGAAGGATTGAGTTCCGATTTGGGGGAGAGATGAATGAGAGGGGAAAGGGTCTTTTCTGGGGCACAGCGCACACCAAGGGATCAGAGCTAGAAGCGGGGCACACTGCTGAGAAGACTTAGAATCTGGGCCCTGTGATGGGGCACCTGAGCAGTGGGGATGCACATCAGGAGGCGGGGAGGGGTTGGAAAGGGAAGGAGAAGGGCAAGAATCAACTCTCACACTGAGCAATTGTGCCTGGGCCCCTTGGAACTATACTGCTCTGCAAATCAGCTCACCGCTGACCTTGACAGGACTGGAGAGCCAGCAAGAGGACTCCATGAGCATCTGTGAAAGCCCATTCAATCACGTGGCACCGGGTGACTGGTTCCCGATGCCCAGACCTGGTAGAGGGGTGGAAACAAGATGGAGGACACAGAAAGAAGCTCCTAAGGGTGTCTGCTGGGCATCAGAACAGTTTCCTTGGCAAGAAGTAGACAGCAACATTTTACAACCTGAGGTACAAAAGAACTAAGAAGGAGAAATAAGGGACCTTTTAGAACATTTCCCAAAAATAACATTTCTGAGTTATGGACTGGTATAGACACAAGAAGGTGACAGACGAGGACACAGGGTAACAAGCCTGAGTTTTTCCAGGAGGTGGGTGGTCATGGGGTCATTCCACACTTGCTTCCTGCACGATGGATTAATGGGGGATTTGATCACTAATCTGGACCAACTCTAAAAATACTGATGGCAGGAAGATGTCATGTTGCAAAATATGTCTACAGAGCCAGGAAAGAAAAACAACCTTTACTTCTGAAACAACTTTAATGGGACCGCACTTTTGCAAGGAAAAAAATATGCCCAATAATGGCATAGTGGCTTGTAAAGCTCCCTCCCCCCAGTAAACAAGTTACACATGATTTGCCTAAAATAGTAATCATTGCAGGCATATGTGAGTTTCCCTGATTGCCATGCAGAGTTACAAACCTTTACCAAGTCCCTCAGTGTTAAATGATGGTACGTGCCATGGTATTGTGGTAACATTTCCGGTAGAAAACAAACTATTCACCCAGAAGAGGAAAAGTATACCCCTTTGTCTGGCTTATTATCCTAGCTAAGTACTACTCTATGAATCAGAGAAGTTCAGAGAACTTTATATTGAGAAACAGAAAACAGCTAAAGCAGAAACAGAATGTCATTCACAAGAGCCCTGTTACTCTCTTATTTGAATATTGGGCTTAGGGAACACACGATGAAGTCGTAGGCATTTACAGTCACCTGGAGGAGGGTTTCTGAACTTCTGTGCTATAGGCACGTGGGGCCGGGTAATTTTTGGTGTGAGGGGCTGTCCTGTGCCCTGTAGGCTGTGTGACCGCATCCCTGCCCTCTACTCGCTAGATGCCAGTAGCGCCCTCCTGCCGTGACAATGAAAAGTGCTTCCAGACATTGTCAGACGCCCCCTGGGGGCCCCAATTGCCCCGCACGAGAACCGCTGCCTTCGTGTTTCACTTATGTTTCCGTGTAACTCCTGAGTGGTAGCACCAATAACCCAATGCAGTCTCATTCAACAGAAATGAAACCAAACTAAGGAAGTACATAAAAGGATTATCATGGAGCAAAACCACATTATAAAATCCAATAGCTGTGTTTCCCCCTCCCCCCGAATCAGCCCTACCTCCTCAGACCTCTTGCACCAAGGAGAAATCATGCCAAAGAAAAGCCACCGCGCACACAGGAGCACCAGGAGCACAAGACAATAGTTCCTTGTTACAGGCTCCCCACTACTACCCCAAAACTAAAACACCCTCTGCTGTGGAGCAAGACATGGTAAACAGAAAACGAGAGGACTTACTGTTTCCAGAAGCAGCTTTGTAGAATTTCGTCAGGTTGACGTGCGGCGGCCGGCTGGGCTTCGGAGGCGGCGGGCCCAGGAGGGACAAGGGCGGCAGCGGCTTCTGCTTGGGGATGCTGGGATTCTTGTCCCCCTTTTCCTTTTCCTGACTTTGGGCCCAGGGCCCTGCCATTACCACCTTGGAAGGTGTCTTGGGGAACTTGGCGGGTGGTGCCCCAGAGGACAGCTCTTCTTGATTCATTTTGCTCAGGAATACGTTCTTAGCAGCGTCTATCCTCTTGTCTTCTTTCTTTTCTTCAGCATTTTTGGGGAAGCCTGGGCCTCCTCTGCTGGCAGCAGGTTTCAGAACTACTCCAGGAAAAGGTGAACTTGATGTCTCGCTTCCATGGTCTTTATTTTCTGAGTCTTCCTTTGCTGGTTTAAAAGGGCCAGGTTTAGACTTAACTCCGGCAGGCGCCAAGGGTCCTCTCTGTGGCAACACGTTCTTAGCGGGGCCCTCGGCTTCGTGGGGGTCATCCATGCTCAGGGATGGCTTCTGGCCAATGACGGGTTTGGGGAAGAGGGGCTTGGTGTCATGGTCTTGGGAGACTGACGCAAACTTGCCTTGAACCCCAGACAGCTTTGGGAACACTGGCTTCTGTTCGTTCTCCTGGGCTGGAGGGTTCAGCTTGGGCTTTGGACCTGGTGGCTTTAAGTCGTGGTCTTGGTTTGCACCGGCAGGAGTGGGCTTATTCCCAGGAGGCCGGGGAAACACAGGTTTGGAATCTTCTTTGGGCAGGTTGGTGGGCTTGAGGCCAACAGGTCTGGGAAACCCTGCCTTCACCTCTGGGTCCCTGCTGGCCGAGGTTGCCAGTGAGGGTGAGCCAAATCTCGGGCCCACTCCTGTGGGCTTGAGAAAGGGGGGTTTGGGCTCCATATCAGGTTTGTCCTCAGAAGGAGGTTTCACCGCCAAAGGTGGCTTTGGGGATCCAAACTTTGGTACGTTGCTGGGTCCTGCTGGAGGGCTGGCATTTCCTTGGTTGTCGAATAAATTCTTTTTGGCTTGTACTCCTGAGGGTGAATTTTGCCCCGCGACTTTGAAGGGTCGGCTGTTGACCTCCTGTGTTGGGTTGCCCAACGTGTTAAACTTCGCCATCAGAGACTTCACATCTGCTTTCTCATCCTATAAGTACAGGGAACAAAAACTAGCTGAGAACCAGAAGTAGCACTTGCACAGTTTAAAACACTACTTTAAAGGGTTTCCTGGTTTGAGGTCCCCAGTGCTGCTGATTGGGTAGCGAGATATTGTAACATTTATCTTCCTCTATGGCAAAGCAAGTTGTGAGAGTTTCTTGAAGGGGGAGGGCTCTTGTACGCATACTTTTGGAGCTGTCTTAGGCTGACATGCTTATTTTTGTTTGCTACAACTTATTGTTTCCCTTTCCTTCACTGTTGGCCTGGCTATGTTGTTGATAGCTGTCCATTTTATTTTACTTGAAAAAACATGGATGTCGCTAACAAATGACTTCTTCCATACTTTACCATTGAGCCTCTTAAATAGAAACTGCCCTGAAAGAATGAAAGTGAGCTTTTAGGGTGCATACTCTTTACTGCATGGCCACGGTTAACATCTCTGTGGTTTCTGAGAGTTCTCTTTGCCTATCCACATTTCAGGTCTGCCTGTGTGCCAGCAAGGACATGTGGCAGAAAGAGCCACTCATTGTATGTGTCCGTAATAGGAAGAGTTTTTCTACTTACTTGTATATATCGATGCACCTGGAACCAGAGTACAGGTGTGTTCCCTTCTGGGATGGGACAGCACGCAGGATGCGACCTGTCTGGGGGGAGAGTCTAGGGCACTGGAGGGAGGGGACAAGGATGCAGAGACCGGCTGGAAGTCTCATTACCCAGACATCTTCTTTCTCCAGCCTTGTCTCTTCTATAATGACATTTGTCACTCCTCTGCGGTCCTGCTCCCCAGTGTCTGTCCTCCTTGTCTAGAATTAGGGTATTGCTTGGTAAAGAGAGCAGCCAGTCACCCTCTTCTGTGGGTATAACCCCATTTAATCTGGTAGAATTCATGGTGTGCGTGGCCTGCCTCTCATAAGCCAGTTCTCCCAGAAAATTCTAGTTCTTTTAGAATATCTGGAAATCTGAAGCTTTAAAAAATAATTGAAGATACACATCTGGTCATCATCATTTTTATTTTCGTACTTTAAAACTGACCTAGAAAACATTTCCTTACTCCCCGCCCCACTGCTCATTGCTACACACCCAAGCTGACTTTTTCTCTCAGGGCCTCACTCAAATACCACAAAACCAGATCCTGTCCGGTTGGGAAGATTTGCTCTGTCCTCTTAACTCATGTATCGCCTTCAGTAGCTCTACTTGTCCCTGTGTGACTTCCTTTCTAATAGTAAGCTCCACCATTAGTGTGTAAAGACGTGCGCTTGATTCCGAACCATGCACGAACCTGCGTGGTCCATCTCATTCTTTGGGTGGGTGGCACTATCTAACTCCACTGCCCAGGAAAGAAAAGCGAGGTTACAATGGCAAGATCATGGAAAGATGGCGAGAACCTGGTTGGACTCCTGGTTTATTAGGTGGGCCTCAGGCGCATCCTCTATAAAATGGGGATAATAACACGGACCTGCCAGTATTATCATGTGCATCAGAGCTGGAATTTGTAAAGCGCCTGCCTAGCCCACAGCATGGGCTCAGTAGGTGGAAACTGTCCTTCTGAGGAATGTTAAGAAGCGAATTCAAGGGCTTACAGCCAGGAACTGTGGGCACAGGGATGCAGGCTCCGTGCTGTTCAGGTTCCCAAAATCCAGAAACCTTCATGCTCCCCTGTGTATCCTCACAACACCTGGACCAAGGCCAGAGTTTTAACATACATTTGGAGAGTGAAGGTTGGCACTGAGCTGAATACTGTGAACAATAATTTTAAGGAAAAGATGTCTTCAGCAGGAGTTTGTCTCCCTACCAAACTGCAGTGCGTGGGTTTTTGCGGGTTGAGGGTAAGGAACCTGGGCCAGAGATGACAACCAGGTGAGAGAAACATTTTCCAACTTGACTTTTGCTCCTTTATTTATTTCCCTGCATCTGAATTGCTGAAAACATCTTGTTTTCTACCTGGCCTCCCTTGACCACGCTTTTTAATCCCCCTGATTTTCTCAAATCCTCAGTCCCCGCAGGCCTCAGGGCGGAAGACAGCAGACCAGAGAGTGTTTGGGTGCCGGGAGCAGGGGAGGGGGATAGGAGAAGGTGGGTCCTGCCCTGGGCCCTCATGCTTTATGCTGTTTGGAGTTCTCTGCTTCATAACAGAGAAGCTCAAATAGCATAAAGAAGCCACAGAGAACTCCTAACAGCATAAAGAAGCATCCGTACAAAAATTCCCTCCCCACCTGGAAGAAAGTCTGTCTTTGGGGAAGGATTCTCTTATTCCTAGACTTACTCTGTGTTTTGTCATTCATACTCTAGGTCTGGAATTTATTCTGGGTTTTATAACAAGAGGCTGCCTAGCAGAAAGAGTACCAACACAGTCGCAGGTGCCAGACCGCCTAGGTTCGAATCTTACTAGCCATTGAGTCCAGGGCAAGGCACGGAAACCCTCTGGGCCTTGGGCTGCACACCGGGCTCTGTCACGGGGACACCGGCGCCTTGTCAGAGCGCCGCTAGGAAGGGTAAACAAATCACTATTCCTAAAGCGCATTACCCAGAGCCTGGCAGAGAGGAGCGCTTCTTGCTTTTACGAAGCAAGTCAAGCCACAGAGATCGTCTTGTCCACCCCTTCCACTGTGTTGGTGAGACACAGAGACCAAAGGATTTCAGTGACATCCTGCTTAGTTACAGCAATTTCACATCTTGAATTTCATGGGGAAACCCCATGAAACACACTAACCCATTGTCACACCCCACATTCTGGTTTTAATTAAGAAAATATGGATGTGGTTGGTTTGGAGCTGGAACTTGTCTCTTAGGTGTCGTCCCAGACCCAGGAGGCAGGGCGGCATCTTGGTCAATAACATAGGCTCTGGGATTATTGACGTGGGTTCAAACCTTGACTTTGTCACTTACTAGCCATGTGATCTACCCCTCTGGGCTTAGTTTTCTCCATCGACAAAATGCAAATAATGACAGTGCCAATTTCTCACAGGGTTTTGTTTTTTAAAAAAGGACTAAATGGATTAATGTGTGTAAAGTTCTGAGATCAAGAATTGTTTGTCTGCCATTGTTTTTTTCTAATTCACTAGTCCCATAAGAGCATTTTCTCCAGGTGACTGAATTGTGTAGTTACAATTGTTAATGTTATATACTAATTTTAAATCAATGTGGCTGAAACGAGTGTACTGCTGGATAACAGTAGAGTTACGATGTTTGAGTTTAGTTTACACATACTCTGAAACTTTTCACTGGATGTTGAAGAATAGGTTACAAAAGAGCAAGTTCCTATGTAAGATGCCGAAGAATCAGTAACAACACCTGAGCTAACTAATACGTCTGGGAAATCAGTAGCTTGAACCCAACTATTTAATCACTTACACTGGCAGCTTAGCTTTAGAGGCTATTTGGTTATTATCATTGTTAGTAAGTTTGTTAGATAAATTTTTAGCACACATACTTTCCCCTATTCTTAACAATAATAGCCACGCTTCGTCCTTAATGATAACGATAGAAAATAAAACATGATTGAATTTTTTTGACATTCTCCCATTCTGACTTCATTGTAGGTTAAATACCCATTCCATTTTCTAGGGCTCATTTTATTTAAAATAATAATAGTGATAAAGAAACGATAGCACAGGAGCAATGTGTCGTTGTGTAACAGAGTGAAAAGTAAGCCTGCCCCAAGCCGCGAACCTCCAGGCCCGAGTGTCCGTTCTGGGGAGATTATAAATCCCAAATTACCAGCACACCACGGGCTTACACCTGTGGCTCTGGGATAATAATAATGCTCCTTTTACTCTCAAAATTGACTGCTCTAAATAGTAAAGTAAATGGTAAAACTCTCCCAGTTCTTCACCAGAGGCAACCATTTCATCAGTGTCTCATGTACCTATCTAAGCTATGCATATACAAATACAGGTAAACATGCACACACGTGCATACACACACATCCTGCCTATCCCCACTTTTTGCACTAATGGGAACTCCTGTTTTGCACTTTGCTTTTTCTCAGACCTGTATGCAGTTGATACACGCCAGTGCAGCTGAACATACAATCAGAACTATTCCGATTGCTTAGTGCCTGTGCAATTTCAGTTATTAAGTTTTCTATGTTAACTCTGCTTGTTGCCCTTACCGACTGATCTTTATCAGTGCATATTATTTGCAGAATCTTTCAAAAATAGACTTCATTTCTTTATTTTTAAGAACAATTTTAGATTTACAGAAAAATTGCAGAGGTAATGCAGAGAGTTCTCATCTACTGTCCATCCAGTTTTCTCCTGTTATTAACACTTTACATTAGTTTACAGGACCTTTTTAACTTTTAATGGTTCTAAGGTTAGGCTTCTATTTATTCTTAAGAAGATGTATTTCATGATCTGGAAGACCTCAGAGTTTAAGATATTTTAAGTAAAACAAACATTTCATCTTAGATTATTTGGAATTTTTTTCCAAAGTCATTTGAAGCCATTCATTATTTATGTACATACCTAATGTTTAGCCCAATCTATAACATTGTTCTATAATTACACAGATGTAATTGTAGAGATGCCCTTGAAACAAATAAAATTTTTTCAGTCTGCCATATATTTTCCACGTCCTCAGAATTTTGTACCTTCACTGGTATGAACTCCCCACACCTGTCAGAGCCCTTGGAAAGGTGACTGTTAGCAATACAGACTCCAATTTCCAGTTAACATCTCCAGAATCCAGAAATCCTTTTTTGTTTTTAGCAACCTACACAACGGTAGAGGATCAAGTACATACTTAAACGAAGGCCAAGATGGCATTTAGTACTGACATTAAGAAAATGCTTCCCTTTATAGCTAATTCATCTTTATGTATTCCTATGGAAGATTGAAAATACTCTTTGTTATTGATAACAGGGTTTGGGATTTGTTTTTATAGTGTTCATGCTTTTTAATCTATCTTGGATACTAGTCTAACCCAGTGGTGCTCAACCGGGGGCAATCTGGCCGTGTCTGCAGACGTTTTTGATTGAAATGACCGAGGGAAGGCGTGCTCTTCGTGTCTGGTGAGCAGAGTCCAGGGACGCTGCTACAAATCCTACAAGGCACTGGACAGCTCT